AATACCTATTTAAATATTAATCAAACAAAATAAACTGTCTATCCTCTCTTCTTATGATTTCCTACATTAAATAAACATTTTTAATAAATTATTGCTAAACTATATGCATCTTAAGAAAAAAAGAAAAGAAAGAATGTTTAACCAAACACAAATTTTGTAGAACAATTTACTCCTAAAAATTCTCATCCTATATTTATATGATACTTTTTTTGTTAAATAAATTTAATAAATGAAAAAAGTAGATAGAATCAAATCAAATAGCCAATACATCATATGGAGGGTCAAATCGTAAATTAAGACAATTCTATTTGAGTAGAATAAGAAGGTAACAAATAGCCAAAAGAATTTGTAAATATTATTATTAACTGTAGCCTTTAAATTCTACAAATAAAAAAGCCAATGACAAAGAATAATAAGCCTCAGAATAATAAATCTCATTTTCAATTTTTAAATATTTTAAACCTACTCCTGACCCTACTTTAGTTTTGGAACCACATAAAGATAAAAATTTGAGTAGTGAACTATAAGAGTTAATAGAAAATCAGGTTAAGAGAACATCAAGCATATATAAATACTATGCTAAAATAGGATTTCAAGTTTTTATATATCTATTAAATATACTTGAAGTTATCTTTATATTAGTCTACGATTCATATATGAATTATGGTCATACTTTAAGTCCTTCTATATTGTTTCTATACTGTTTTGTACTTTACTTCATTGTGGAGCTTGGATGTACTCTTATATATTCAGGGAAGTTGAAAAACAAATCATTTGTATTGATATTTTAAACTATATATACTATTTTTTTATGGGAGCATTAAGTTATTTTAAAATAGCTCCATTTATTTATTATTTCAACAGAGATAAATCAATAGAATAGTTTTCATTTAGTGAGATTAATAAATACTTGTAATTAAGTAGTGAAGATAAATTTAGAAATCCATGTATGTTTTTAAAGAAAGAACAAAACCTGTAAATATATTTAGGGATTTAATATTCCATAGAGTTGCTTTAGTCTCAATGATGATTACAATGACAATTCAAACTATTCCTTAAATCTTTATATAAGGCTTTTATAACACAGTAGCAGAAAAATGGGATGGATTTAATGTGATTAATTTTTTATTATTAATAAGTAATTTAATCTATTACTTTATGAAATTATAATTTATTGTATTTACTAAAACCTATAGATAAATGCAACAGAAGTTTAATTTAAATTGAAGAAAATCAAATTAAAGTTTATTTAAGAAACTAAATCACTATTAAAAGCTGATTTAAAATATATTGAATTTGTTTAATCTTTTATTTTCATATTTATCCAAATAAATTCAGTTCTTATTAAAAGAAGAGATGCATGATTTAAATAATAAGTTTCTTGATGAAGTAGAAAAAATATAAAAATATTGAATTTCATTCTATTGATTAATATGAGGATTCTAATATTTAGCTAATTGTTTTAAATTGATTAGAGTAAAATAAATAAGTCTTTTTATATCATAATTAAAATTATGAAGCATTTTTATAGGATACTTTTGGAGATATTCTAAATTTAAAACTTTAAAGTTAAAATGAATTAAATCTTGATAAATTATGGAATGATGAATTTATTGATTTTAATGCAGAAGAGGAGAAAGTAAAATAGATATAATTTATTGAAAATCTAAAAATTACTACTGGCTAATCAGCAATGCAATTGAACTAGTTTTTGAAAAATATTTAAATATACATTTCTCCAGAATTTTAAGCCTTGATCTAAATTCACTAAAGAGGATCAACTGTTAATAGAGGTATTAGTAATTGGTCTATCAATTAATCATAGATAATTGATTATAATTTATAAGGTACATCCTAAGAAATTATTGATGAAACAAAAACTCAAGTTGCTCAAATAACTTAAAGAGATCTATTTCAAGAATCATTTGGAAATATTTAATTAGTGATGAATTTGTACGATTATTATGAATACTGGAACAAATTGAATTCATTTTAAGCAACTATTCAAACAATTTGGTCATTTTTTAATGGATCCTGATAAATTATTACACTTGTCTATTTAAATAATGGAGATGATATATTTTTATAAGCATTAATAGTTTTGACTATTATCAATCCAGTATTGTAAATGGTATCATTTGCAATATTTTAACATCGTGTATTTAAAGATTTTTCAACTTTAAAATAATTGTCTTATATTTTATTATTTGCAATATTTAACTATTTTTAGATTTGGGATATCGTAATGATTTTTTTATATTTATTTGTTAAAGAATTCACTGATGTAGTAAAAAGAAAGTTTAGTTTTGTTGCATATATGAAGTTCAAGAGTTATGCTTCAAAATTTTAAGGTATAAGTATTTAAATATGAAACTGTTACTATTGATCCCAAGGCAATTTCTTAAATTAAGAATTAGCCATTCTATGAGGCTGT